TCTGTAGAAAATTAATTTCATGGTCTTTGTCAGTGTGTGTAACATAAATGGACTGTAGAAAACATGACTTTTTTTTCTTTTGTTCGTTTTGGAATAACCTTTAAAAAACACGAGCTGCTGTTCAGGAATCACAAATTTAGGTCTCCCACGTCGCCCTTCTCCACTCTGAATGGGTGCTTGATACGTGAATGATGATGGTTCCCCACACGAAGCCGTCGTTAACTGTTGACGAGCCTGATTCATCAAGTCCACGGATTCTAAGGAAATATCCCCATTGAGAAGAGTAGTTTCAAATGAGACTCTCGAGTCTCACAGCAGTTGGCTCTGACCCACGACCCCGATCTCCTCTCTCAAGATCCTCAATAATTGCCTTCAACTCTGACGCGAGTTGTTGTTGGAAATCCATCGTATTATTCTGAGTGTAGAGTATAGTGTAGAGTATAGGTCAAATTTCAATGAAGAAAATCAAAAGGAGTTGATGGTTTTAAAATTTTTCTTTCCTCCCTGACCAAGCGTTATCCTACCGCGTTCTCTGTGGTTTTCTTTCTAGCACGAATCGTGATGTAGTTCATATTAATTTTGCAAGTATGGGAGGGGATGGGACGGGAGGGGGTTGAGCAATCTGCCGTAGGTAAAAAGATGGCGACTGGTACATTTCCCCATAATTCTTAGCGCAAGGAAACTTAAACAGCGCTCATAAAAACTCACAGAAACGTTCCAAAACCTTCAAACCTAGAATACACAATGTGGTTAGCAAAGGGAAAATAGTGCAAAAATATGGCCTTCCTTGTACTTGACGGAATGTGCAGCCGCCATCTTTTCTTCTATACTGGATTACAAACTGAACAAATTGACGTCAGTTTTTTCATGCGTCTGTCCTGTAACATTGTCAAAGTAGTCTGCGGATCCACTCGGCTATCGCCTCGTGGATCCACAGCTAGTTTGACAATGTTATGACGAAATTCATGATCAATAACAGGACAGACGCATGAAAAACTGACAACAAATTGTCAATAAATTATAATTATAAATTATAAATTCTAGTGTCTGTCCGCTTGTTGACGATAAAAATTTGCCAATGAGCGCGCAAGAATTTCTGCAGTCATCGTAAAATAAGAAATTCATAGTCGGAATTCGCAAAAGAAAAATTTCAGGCGAAGAAAAATAGTGTTAAGAAATATCCTAGAAAATGATAAAAGAAGAACACGTGCGCGACAATTAGTAGTGTACAAAAAAATCGTACACCCCAACCCCCTCAAAATTTACCAGTATTTTCCTATGAAGCGACTGCCCAAGAACCAAGGTATCTTAACGACAATCAACTTTTAGAGTAAAGTGAATAAAGTTTTCATTCAAAGCATCGCCAAGTACCACATATTTCAGATAAAGATCAGCAAAGAGGTGAGTAGGCGGCTCAGTTGTTTGTTACACTATTTCCGTCGACAATCGTTTTGATGTAATCGAATTGCCTGAGCATATATCTATGCAATCAACGTTGTTAATTTAAAATATAGCGCTAAAATATAGAGCAAAATCCGTACCATAGTGGAAAATAGTCCAAAAAAAATTAAATCTGAAACAAGACAAAGAACAAAGGTGAGTAAACTGGAGGTGTTATCATTTCCTTTGCGTTCAGGCTCGTGACTTTAACCTTCTTTGACCTTGATATAATATCCTATCTGATCTCATAAATATTGTCATAATTCCTAGGTTCCCTCTGGCACTCTCAAAGACATATCTTCTAGACAGAAATGCATTGCAAAATGAAATAAAAAGAAGCAAACTTACCGAAGTTGTCCGCAACACGCTTGGCCAAGCTCGCCGAGTCGGTGTGACCTAAGTCACGGTCATTCACTCTGCTAATTTGATTAACTGATCCATTTCAATCTTGACTTGTCCACTTCACTGTTGTATTTTTTGCGGTTCGGCAAAGAAGGCTGTTTCGTTTCGTGCCACGCTAAATCACTTTTAATTTCGTTCAATCATTTCTAATTACACTGGACCATTCCTTCCATGACTGAACATCTCAACATTAAGTTAAGCTATTTGCTGTTTGCACGAATGATTTGACTTCGTACTGCACTATTTGTGTCTGCTTTAAATCAGTTGGCACAACACCAAACCATTGGTCGGTGAGTGGAACCATTTCTTGGTGAATTAAATGATTTGTCGATTACTTCAATCGTCCCACCATTAATTACACCATTTTGAAACAGAACACTTGACCGTTTGTTGTCAGACCTGATCATTCCACGTATCGTAGTCAGATAGATCCTCATTTAAATAAACTGATTCTTATCAGTTTGTTCCATTTTGATATCGGTGACTGAACCATTTCTAAATTGTCTAAATCATTTACTGTTTCAGTAGACCGTTTAACATAACCTAACTATTTGTATTTGGACAGTATCATTTGTCAATCATTTATACCATTTCGCAAACCATCACTAAATCATTTATGTTTGGTCTGTGCCGTTTAATAATCTTGTATTTTTGGTGGTAACGGCGGCCCATAAGAAGCTTATCTGAACCATAGTCTGAACCAGGGGTTTCAATAAGAGCCGGTTACCAGCGGTCTACCGCCGCCTGTAGGACCCCTTACCGCCGTCTGTTTGGATTTCATTAATGAAAATAAAAATGATATTAATAAAAAAAAAAAAGTAAATACAACAACAACGACGACCCCTGAAATTTTTAAATGCTACAAAAAAGCGGGCAAAACAGACCCAAAGACCAAAAAACTGAAGCGCACGTGTTAATTTCAACGTCTAGCGATACACTAAAAAACTGAAGCCTCGGCATCGTGACAAAGCAGACTCTGGGACAAACTCTAACTGGAACCAGTCGTCGTCAACCGGTAGGAATAATATTATCATTTCTTTGGATTGATTACCTTTATGTAAAGAATAATCCGATTACAGGTTTCGACAGATTGTTTTAAGTCAGTTTTTACAATAACTTTCAGTGGATATCAAGTGTCACTGAGAGATATCTGCCTAGAAAGGTATTCAAAATGCATCTTTTTGCATCAAAAAATTAATAGTTTGTCAAAAAAAAAAAATCCTGCTTTGTGGTCAATGAAAATACCCATCAACAGCACGCTTTTTGATGCCCATAACGCTGGAAATCGCATTTCCGAGCTTCTAGATTTCAATTTTTTCTGGGGAGGGCATGCCCCCCAGACCCCCCTAGGGGAAAGGGGCCTTACTGCCCCTTTAGTGGTCACAGCCTCCTATTACACCTTCAGTGGCCACTTATAACTAATGTTATTGAAACCCCTGCTGAACCATGTCTGAACTTAACAAATGAACTGTACGGAATAAAGATATCATTAGAACAAAGGCCAGGGCAGTAAATTTAAGTAGTAGCGATAAGACCTGAAAAAACTTCGGGCTCAGACGGTTACATGTTTTCTAACTAGTCTCTAACAAAACAATGCACAGCTAGTGTACGCATGAGATGAACGCGAGTGCGTTCTTTTTATAGAGGTCTATAGATCTCGAGCTCGAATGTGAACTATTTTCTTGGAAAACACGGAAAGCCTTCTTCTATTTGGTTTAGAACTAAACATGAAAAAGTGAGAATATTTAAATTTTAGAGGGGCATATAATTCATGTAGGCCGCCACATAATCACCTTTTATACCTTTGGATACCACTCTGAACTTCATACAACCTTGTGTACGCCTGTATTGAACTCGTGTGTACTTCTGTATGCCGCTGTAAACCCCTGTTAGCTATTGTTTACCCCTGTATGCCCTTGTATGCCCTTGTAAACTCCTGTTAAGCTTACACACTTTATTTACAGTCTCCATGCAGCACGTCCAAAAGGTACTAATATTTAATTATTCTTAACTGGAACAAATTTAATAACTTTTCATAAGAAAGAAATATGAGTGTCACACCGAACAAAGCTGGATAAGTCATTTCGCCACCGAGATAAAAAAACGATTGAAGAGTTCCACTGTAGATAGTATCTACAGTGGAACTCTTCAATCGTCAATGGTACAAAAGAAGGTATCTGATACCTTTTTTATACCATGACATAGAAACTGTACGGCCAATCAGAACGCAGGAAAGCTGTTGTATATTCAACGGTGTTACATCCAACCTTCCGAAATTGTTCCGGTAACTTTTCACTGAAATTGAACATGGCAAAACGCAGCACGATTTTTTAGCGCTTTGCCGGTTTGGAAACTGAGCAAGGGGTTTAGGTATCTTAGCCTCTTCCAGGCGTTCAGTTAGTTGGGGCGCAGCGCGGAAAACTGAGCGCGAAAAAATAAAAAAAAAAGCGCGGCGAGAGGAAGCGCACTGTTTTTCACTCTGCGCCCCAACTAACTAAACGCCTGGAAGGGGCTAAGTTATCTACAATTTAAACCGGGCGCGCTAGCCGCTACATCGCTAACGGTAACCTTAACCATTCTTTGAAAACTAAACGAAAAAAAAAAACGCGACACTTCCGAGTTATGATTTAAACATAAAATCCCAGTACGTGCGAAGAATTGCCTTGGCTACTGCCACACACAATGAAGTTTTCTGTTTGCAGTACGAGCGGGTTTCTTGAATATTTGAATTTTAAGCCGCAAATTCCGTTGAGAAATTAAGGTCATTCCTTCACCGTATTTACGGTAAGTTTTCCAAAATATCGAGCAAAGAAAAAGCCGCAGAATTCAAACAAATTTATCTTTATTCAAAGTAAACTCATAACCTTTCAAAGAGCGGTACGTTTCACCATCTTGCGTGAGCTAGAACGCACAGCTGTGATCTTTTGAGGAAGTGATCTCAAAAGCAAAGCTGCTCTTTAGCAGTAATAAATATTAACATCGTAAACGTTTTACAGGCTCATTTTACGGGAATTATAAAGCTTTGTTATGACAGTTAGCTTTGTAGTACCTACGTATATGTCCACCAATTAAATTTATTGCTTCAAGCTCTTCGCAAATTTGCATTTTTTTTTTTTTTTTATTAATTAATTGCTATATGTCTTAAGGATTCAGTTAACACGTCCACGATGATAACAAAAAATACAACCAACAATTAACAAAACACTCTTAAGGTATTTTTGAGGTATCAAAAGATAGATCGTTGCACCAACACCAAGCAAGAGTTAAATTTGGCTAGTTTTATGCCCCACAGCGGAATTGACCGACACTTGGTTTCGTGGCATTTGTATTGTGGTCCACGATCAGGCGTTTAACAGGATAACTTCTACGTAGCTCAGGTAAGTCATTTTGAATGTACCACATTTCTCAGCTTCTCTCAGGTTTCTGATTTGCTGGACCATGGGTGTGAATAGAAACCAATTTCGGATCACCGCAGCCTTGTATATAAAGACTGCAGCGATGCAGAATTGGTTTGGATCAGAGACCTTACGCAAAAAAAGACGGCAACGTCTATGAGATCGTCGCCAAACTAAAAGCTTACATGTGCGAAACAAGTGATCTTCACGTAAAGTTTACACCTTTGGACATTTCGTAGCCGTCCTTTGCAAATCAACGACATGAAATGATCAATTTGCTGATGAAATGACCGAGTGTTTATGAGAATGTGAGCCCCTTCGGCTAATTTTTCGTATTTCTATTTGGAACTGAGCGCATTGGCCACATAATCAACAGGGGGAAGGTTCCGTACAGACAGACGCACTGAATGGTTTAGGTAACTGCGACATTCTGAAGAAAAATATAATACATTTTCTAACAAGCATCGTCCTCTCCTTCGTCGTCGTATACGTTCAAGGTCTCTAACATCTTGGACGCCTGCGTTCAGATATATTCGCATATAATTATCAATAACAGGCGCGCACATAATTCCCGTGAACAAAATTGACACAAAACTAAAGAGCCGACCGTGTTTTCTACATAGTTTAGTTCATCATAAACGAAGGCAGAGGCCTCTGTATTAATCGTCGTGGCGGCGTCCGATTTATATAGAGGATATTACATGATTACACAGGGATACGAATTTTATCTCCCAATGCTGATGGTATCTCTCGCGAGTGAGGGTCAGTGAGAGATATCATCAAGAAGTGAACATCGCGTGACAAATTTTTCCGCCTTTTCGCACCATAGCTTCGTTTAAATCAAACTAAAATGTCCACATCATCCAGTCGATTGAAGAATTTACTAAAGCAATCGCTCCATTCGGTCATGTTAGCTATAGGCGCCTCTTTTCTAGTTATTTATCTCAGTCACGTATCCAACAAGGGCGAATGGAATAATTGTTGATTATTCCCCACACCAACCATGGTTTGCATCATAGTTAGTAGAGGGGAATGGTTACTTGTGCCACATCCAAACACAGAACAATTATCTCCTGGCATAATGATACTCGATCAATTATCAGCAAATTTAACAGCCAAATCCAGAATTTTTGATTCGAACTTCAATTTCTACGAGACTCCGGACGCCATCTTGGCGTTTCTGTTGTGCACGGTCGCGATCACGTGACCAAGCAAAAACCTAAACAAAGAGATCGTCCTTTGACGTTTGCCGGGTTTCATAACCATTCCCCTCTACTAACTATGTTTGCATCTTAGGATACATTACGATCTGGTATGCGAACCGACATTATAGGAAAAAACACTGTTCAGTTAAAAATTGTAATAATCAAATAAAAAAAGTAAAAGTGCTAGCTGTTTTTAAATAATCTAAATAAACACAAATGCACGAGGCAAATTGTACAGGAACAAACAACTAACACTGATGTAGGTAGCGCTAAGTGCACCTTATCAATATGTCTTCGAAAAAAGGGAAAGGATAGCTTATTTCCTTTACAGTCTTGATGCATCCAACTCATGCAGGCATAATGTGTGGAAATGTCGACTTTTCATGGTCGCCTTCGACATTCTTTTCAAAGCAAATGCCGTTGCCAAGCCGTGAAATTTAATACATTTGTAACGTCGGCGACAAGAAAAAAAAAAAAAAAGAGAGAGAGAGANAAAAAAAAAAAAAAAAAAAAAAGAGAGAGAGAGATATTAAGTTAAACAAGACTGACGGAAAATATCAATGCTAATAACCAACACCAATGTCACTTCCTTATAATGATTGCAAATCACAAAAATCAAAAGTGAACATACATCAAAAACGAGATCATGAGGAGAGTTCGGTAAACGTAATTAAAGTTAGCTTCGACCTTTACATTGCTACGATTGTTTTTCATGAGTTTTTCTGATAGATTTCTTTCTTTCACGTTCCGGGGGCCCGGGTGTCCGGGGTGCTGGGGAAACATTTTATTTTGCCCTAAACTCAGCAAGAGCGCTTAATAAGATAAAATGAGGCTTTTAATTATAACTCTCGGCTTACATTTCACAGGACAAGAAGAAAGTAAACCAAGATTTTAAAAACAATGGATCTGGTGAAAAGGAAACTAAGACCCTTCTTTTCTCTGACGAGAAGACAGAAAAGAAACATTCGGATTTGCTTAAGTACAGTCGTGATGGCCTTGGCATTTTATAGAATATTGTACTATAAACAAGACGAGACGCAAAGAAAACTAATTTTAGTTTACACTCCATATCCAAGCGAACCATGGGGCCCACGAAATGCTGAAGAATCCAAGAACTACAAATTTACCGATTGGGATGGCACTCCATGCGAAGAAAACAGGTGTCAAATCACTTTTGATAAAAGTTTACGAAACTTTAGCGATGCTGTGCTCGTACACGTCGGACATCCGAATTTCAATATTGACGAAGCAAAGAGCAACAGGCCACCCGCACAGAGATGGGTCTTGTACACTAAGGAAAGTCCGGGAGTATATCCCATAGGAGATATGGCTGACGGCGTGTATAACTGGACTGCAACTTATCGGCTAGATTCGGACTTTTTCGTACCTTATGGATCTTATTCACCATTGAAAATCCCGAATAAATCAGATAACGACGACTTAACGGAACAACCCGGCGAAAATGTGAACTACGCAAAGGGAAAAGACAAAATGGCCACTTTTGGTGTGAGTAACCACTGTAACGAACGTGGAGTTAGATTCTCTTACGTCCGGGCACTCTTAAAACACATACCAATAAGCCTCTATGGAAAATGTGCCCCTATGTTTGAATCGAATAACACTTGGAAATGTCCCCGCCGCAAGGGACAAATCGATGATGATTGCGAGGAAGAAATCCAGCGCCACAAGTTCTACCTCGCATTTGAGAATAGTTTGTGTATAGATTACATAACAGAGAAGTATTGGAGGAATTCACTTGAGAGAGGATTGGTCCCTGTAGTTCTTGGAGGTGCTCAATACGGTCCCGATCTGGTAATTCCTGGTTCTTTCATCAACGCAGCCGACTTTGATTCCGTTAAAGATCTTGCGGATTACCTGAAGTATCTGGATAAGAATGACACGGCCTATAACCAGTATTTTCAGTGGAAAACCAAATACAAGGTTGTCAAGTACAATTTTTGGTTGTGCCAATTGTGTAAGGCCCTTCATGATCCAACGAAACCGGCTAAAATTTATCACAAAATGTCAGAGTTTCTGGGAATTAAAGGAGCGTGCAAAGTTAACGAAGAGCGCGTTTGGAACATTATCAACAGAGGCTGAACACGGCTCAAGAATTGAGAGCTCCTGTCTTCAACCTTGTCCCCAGGACCTTCTCCACTTGTCAAAGAGAAGGCCCTGGGGACGAGATTGCTCCTGTCAATTGGAACTTCAAGGCGGACTGGCGGAATGACAGACGGATGGATCATTGAATTTAAATCAAAATTTCGATTTCTTAATCATATGTTATAGAAGTGTTTCAGTCTTATGGTGTGGCGGAGAAAGACCACATTGTGTTCACCAATGAATTCCTATGATATTGTTCCGTTCACCGGGCAGGTATTCACTCCGGGAGATCAGTAAATATACATATGCACGTCTAACTCCTAAGTTACAATTTGTAATAGTAATTGGAGCGAGTGGAGTACAATTCAGGGACTACTAGAATCGCGCAAGTAATTTCAAAATCGAACGAGCACGATTTCTCTCCGAATTGTACGACAGGCTGTCCAGTTAGTAATTAATCGTATCTATAACAAATTTCGAGATTAAAAAAAGTAGTTTGAGAACTTTTTTTGAGCGAAAAAGTCAGTAGTGTTTCCCATAATCAGTTGTAAAAACTGTAGGAAACATTAAGATGGAAGTTATTAAAGCGCGTTTAATCAATCAATCAATCAATCAATCAATCAATCAATCAATCAATCAATCAATCAATCAATCATTTTATTTAAAACTTGGTTAAAATCTTCAGTGAGCACAATAGTCAGGGGTACCAATTTAAATACAAATCAGTTCAAATGAGCGGAAGGTAGCATTGCTTACTATGAGTAAGTAGGGTTTTGGCGCTGACTTGTTATCCGGTACTGTTCAGTTAAATACAAATTGAGCACATTCACTGTAATATAGCATTGTCTAGTAATGTTTGCTGATAAATATCTCTGATGAAGAGTTCATGATGATCTATCTCTGGGGAATCAGTATTATTCCTGAGGCGGTCGCACATAAGAGGTACTATAATATCTCAGCAAGCCGCTGTGCTTTGTGAAAGTTCTAAATATAACGTTTCAGCACCTTAACGCGACTTGAATTTTTTCAACAAATAAACTGAAACGAGATTATTCCATGTACCGTACTATGAGACGCTCCCCGTGTGGCTTAGAATGAAATCCCCACAGACTCTGATGCTAAAACTGTTACTGCGTGAGGTTTTGGAAAATATTATTGTTTTATTTTTTTACTTATTTCACTTTTTTCGCTTGTTAAAATGGCAAGTACGCAAGTCAAACAAGTTTTACCAAATTGTAAGATATATTTCAAAGCCAATCACCTGCATGCACAGTGGTATTTTAGGACAAACCAAGACATCATTCAGCGCTTTGTTATTTGACTTAATTACACAAAATACGCCAGCGTCTATGATAGATATTTTTAAACTCAGCGTCAAAAGCTTGCCCTTCCCCTTACCCATGTGGTTTTGATACATTACTGAGTGGGGATGGCGATGCATGCGCAAAGAACGCGCCTTGGAATTTCACAGTTATCTAGATCTGCTCAGTACGCTGATCGATCTAAAAGCCGGCTGCTGTACACGTGAGTGGGAATGCACCATACAAGTGCACCGTCTGAGTAGAGCAAGTCTGATGAGTACGAGCGATTGGAGAAAAATGTCAAATAGCTAAGATCATGCCCGCGTGTAACCCTCCGCACCCCCAGAGGAAATCTGGGAAACCTTTTCCTTCGATGTTGGGTACAGCTACACGTGCGCCAAGCGCCTTGAATATAATAAGCACCACACTCAAATGAAGAACTCGGCACCGGGCGCGGCACGTATTCGAAATACTTGAATTCTAAGGCGTCGCTTTTTTTGAACTGGAATCCTAGAATAAACACCAGACCAAAATGTCAAAAAATTTAACACCAGGGCGCTTTTCGAAGTAAGTATGGTAAAGGTTGGGGACATCATGTCGGGGGCGTTACGACCGGCTGTGCCACCATTATTAAAACACACCCGCGCCGGACTCTAACCCTAGACCTATAAACCATTACATTTTTCTGGGATAGTTAAGCAATTATTCTTGACAAGAAATCATATCGCAGGTACGTTTTTTTCTCGGTTTTTCTTGTGTAGATATAATTTTTTTTGGTAGTTGCCAAGCTCCTCCCCAATCAGTAAAGGTGGAAACCGGAACGACGCTAGTCTCCCTCGCAACGCAACGCTCCTCCCCACTAACTAGTGGGGAGGAGCGTTGCGTGACGACCCTAATAACGGCTGCGAAGGAGACTAGAACGACGTCAGAGAGACTCTGGGCTCGAGCGGTTGAGATCGAATCGACCTAGTTACCGACACCGCGGGCTCAATGTTTTGGTCCATTGTACCTTTGTATTCCTCTGTTATTCCTCTTCGATCCTATTCCTGTCCATATTACAATAGTGGGGGAAAACCTTCCTATTCCATTTAATTTTTCTATAAAACAGAAAAAACCTTTTTACCTTAAGGATCACGTATGGGTTGCACTGTGAGTGGAACTGCCAAGGAACTGCCAAGGATAAAAGGATCGTGCAATTCCGACGAAATCAACGCACGTGTCACTTTGTTTAAAAACTTGAGCAAAGAGCTTTGTTCCGTGGATCGCACAGGCAATGCCAGTTTTTTGAAAGGTACGATAGACTTTCCTTTACTCAGTATGTTCAGAAGTTTCATAATTTTTAAAAATGTATGTTACTGAAAAACTGAGAACAGCCCCGCCACCATTTTCCTCTGGAAGGTTAGTAGTGATGGGGTATAAACGAGCCAGGAAAAACACTGCTTTTACAACCTTCAGAACCTTAGAACCAACCCTGGGGGTAATTCCATACGGTTTCTTAAACGTCGATTACGTACTGCTTTATTTATTTATTTATTTGTTTGTTTAATTTTTCATCTAATTATTTATTAACTTATTTATCTATTTTTGACAAACATAAAATTTCATATCACACCCTATGCTAAAGTAAACCAGGAAAACTGATGCACTCTTAGAGATCAAAACAGAAAGATCTAACATTATGCCTTTTTCCTAAGCTCAAAACTAAACACCTCTATACTGGTAAGCTGTAATGGCAACACTGCTCACCCATCATCTCCACCTCTTACCCCTTCCCCACCCCAATATTTTAGACCTGCCCAATTTTTGAGAAACCACATATCAGTAAGACATTTAGACAATCCATGTCATTATTTTATTTCCTCAGCAACATTTTTATTATTTTCTCAGCAACATCTCAGAGATGCAGTTGCAGTGACAGCTTTAAAAAAGTTTCATGGAAAATAATGAGTGAAAAACAAAGTGAAAGGAATAATGGCTGGGATTACAGCGAAGCTGAACTGGGTTGTAACTTTCAACAGGACACTGCAGGCAATGGGAAGGCCTGTTACAAATTCTACATCTCTGATGCCAACAACAATCGCACAAATAACAGTTTAACTATGCCATGTGTCTCAGAGTTTTATAGCTGTATGCAAAATTGTTTACAAGTTAACATAGTGAAAAGTAATCGAGTTGCTGTATTAGTCCATGAGAGATTCTTTAATGGTAAGCTACAACAGGCATATAAATATTCTGCAGTGAAATGGGCCACTTCCAAGTTTTTTTTTTTTTGCCTTTGTGTCAAAACAAGTCTCTGCAATTGCTAAACCACTCATTTGAAAATGCTTCACCTGTGTATTCATTTTCAAACAAATCAAACTCGTTTTCATTTAAATAATTTTGTCCAAGGACTTGTCATGAAAGAGGCAAAAGGAGCTTGGAAATACCCTTGTGGATGGGTGTGGCAATGCAGATTGATAGTCCCAGAAATAGTTACGCACACAACAAGACTATACTTGATGTGCATTTAACTGTGGTTATTTTCTAGTTTATAGTGAGTGTTTAAGTTGGACAAACTAGTTTAAAGAAAAATCAAAAATTCATTTCATCAGTTCCCATTTTCTTTTTTCAAAACTATTATTTACATGTGATGCATTTCGTTTGTCTCTGTAGCATTTGAAGATGACTGCGATGATGATGACTTTATGCTGTCCAACTGACTGGAGCAAAATGCTTGCATGCAGTCATTTTGGGAAGGGATGTATCTATGGACACTTCTGTGTAATTGTAACAGATAGGAAGGAACTCGACATCAGAAAACACAAGAATCCTTGCATCCTCACTGGGTTAATAAGTCTCAATCCACAGGATATGTAACCTTACCCATTTTGTCAGACAATCATTCCATGAGCTAACATCCATTAGTCCCGAAAACTTGCCTGCATGAAGTTTGCCGAACTGACTTCATTTGTGACGGGCAGTTCTTTTTTGTACTGATTGTGGAATATTTAACAATTATTGGTTGAGGTTGAGCAAGTTATTGTGATTTGTCAGTGGTGGGCAGATCAGCTTACATTATTTTAGTAATAATAATAATAAAAACAACATTTACAGAGGATTTTATGAGGCTGGTATTTTTTAGTCCCTGTTGGTTTTTCAAGTTTGAGCAAGGAAAGAAAAAAAGTTCAATCCACAATATTACTGTCATCTCCTGTTTGCAAGTGTGGTTGCAATTTGTTTCATACTCAGTCTTGCAGATATCTAACAATCCCACAATTTGATATTCATGGCTATTTGTATGTAATAAAATGAAGTATTCTCCTGTTGTTTAAGTTTGTTGTTCTGTTCTTTTACCGGTGATTAAGTGCATGCAAGAGAGCTCTGAGACATTTCAAGACTTTTTTTAGTCACTCCATGAATATTGATCTCCATTGATACACAAACAATACAACTTGAAGACCCAAGAATCTGGTATTACCAAGAGAGATTTACTAAAAAATCATAAACATACAAAAAAGCCAACAAAACACAATCACGGCACTTGAGCCAACTTTATTTCGGCTTGACAACTTTTCCTGTACTTAGCCTACAAACTTCTTGAAATACACTTTGAAAAATAATTAAATTTCTCTTTTGTTTACCAATAAATACACTTCTGNTTATCTTATTTAGATTGAATTTTATCCCGTTTAAAAGGTACTTCGCGCATATGCGGCGACTCTCGCACGTGTACAGGGTCTCGAATCTATGGTTAACTACTAGCTAAAAATGTCAATCAAAGTTCGCGTGCTTAATGTCACGCAACATTAATTGTCTCTGATCACAAAAAACAAATTAGTTTATCCACTGGGACCCTTTGATGAATGCCGTTCTCTTATTGGCTACGCTATTGATTATCTATTCTGTTGTAGAGGGTGAGAAGCCTAGCAGTGTGCAGTTGGAAACAAAATGGCGGCCGCTTCTTTGCTTTTTTCAGTCAAGTGTCTGTGAAGAGTTAGAAGAAGTTTAGAACGACTAAAAGTTTTATTCTAAAACAATCAGATTATTCGTTCTCGCTGTCTAGACGTTGTAGTTGGCTCGGGCTGCTCCCTCATCAACTATCACGCGATAGAGATCTCGAGCTCATAATCTAATTGTTAAATGTAAGGAACTAACGCAAACCTAAAATAAAACTATTTTTTTGCATTCCGGCAAATAAAGATGTAAGCTAAACTGAGTTTGCATCAAATTTGTCCTTAGCGAATTGAGATAAAATGAACCAAAGGCAAAGAGTGATCAGTTTAGATCATTCGCAAGTCGACATGAATGGGAAGTGGCTTTCGGCACGGAGATTTTGAGATCATCGAGTTTCATCCGGTTGTTGAACGCGCATGNACAACGACAACGACAACGACGACGACGACGACGACGACGACGACGACGACAACGACGACGACGACGACGACGACGGCGACAACGACAACGACAACGACAACGACAACGACGACGACAATGACAATGATTATGATGCTATTGCCGGAGAGCCTGGTGAAAACCAAGTCATGCTATAAGCAATTGGTTTTGTTAAAAGTTGATTTACTCTTCAGGAAATCCTGTTATCAAGCACATTCATCGATCACTGGCAACAGTTTAGTCCTTACCTTTTCTTTTACAGTTCCCATCAGGCTTGGAAAGGAGAACCCCAGGTTAAAAATGAATGCGGCGAAAAGGATGCTAAGGCCCTATTATTGCTTCTTTGTCCTAACCAAGAAACAGAGAAGAAACCTGCGGATTGGCTTTGCCACAACCTTAATGGTAGTGGCATGTTATCGAATAATCAGTTTTATTCAGTATAAAGAATCCCATGGTGTTGGCGTCATTAGTCCTAATACGTTTCAGTCAGTAAACCAAACGAAGTTGATATTGGTGTACGCTCCGTGGCCTTTCGAGCCATGGGGTCCGAAAAATGCTGAAGAGGCACAAGGTTACAAATTCACAGATTGGGACGGTACTCCATGCGAAGAAGACAGATGTCAAATCACTTTTGATAAAAGTTTACGCAACTTTAGTGATGCCGTGCTTGTACACAACGGAGGAACATACAACCCGAAATTCAATATCGAAGAAGCCAAGAGAAACCGGCCATATGCACAGAGATGGGTCTTCTACTCAAAGGAAAGTCCTAGTGTGGCGGCCGTGGGAGCCCGCGCTGACGGCGTGTATAACTGGACTGCAACATATCGGCGAGATTCGGACTTTTTCGTCCCGTATGGAGCTTACGTTCCCTTAGAACTCCAAACTAAACCAGCTGGCGAGGATATTACAGGTGAACAGGTTCCGTTAAATAAGAGGACGAAAACAGCCGAAGAGTCTGCGGAACAAGCCGAAGAAAATGTAAACTACGCAAAGGGAAAAGATAAAATGGCCACTTTCGGTGTCAGCAATCACTGTAACCAAAATGGAGTTAGATTCTCATTTGTCCGCGCACTCATGAAACACATAGATATAAGCCTCTATGGAAAATGTGCAGCTATGTTTGAATCGAATAACACCTGGCAGTGTCCGCGCCGCAATCAACAGATCAGTAGTGATTGTGCTGAAGAGCTTCAACGCCACAAGTTCTACCTCGCCTTCGAAAATAGTTTGTGTGTAGATTACATAACGGAGAAGTATTGGAGAAATTCACTTGAGCGAGGATTGGTCCCAGTGGTTCTTGGTGGCGCTCAGTACGGTCCCGAACTGGTAATTCCTGGTTCTTTCATCAACGCAGCCAACTTCAATTCCGTTAACGATCTTGCAGATTACCTGAAGTATCTGGATAAGAACGATACGGCTTATAACCAGTATTTTAAATGGAAAACCAAATACAAGGTTGTCAAGCACAATTTTTGGTTATGCCAATTGTGCAAGGCCCTTCACGATCCAACGAAACCGGCGAAAATTTATCACAAAATATCCGAGTTTATGGGGATTAAAGGATCATGTAAAATTGACGAAGAGCGTATCAGAGGAATTATTAGCAGGGGATGAGTGAATTGGCATATCAGTGTAGGACATTCTGCGATGGGAGCTAAAATTAGCGATACTCCGTGCCTCAAAGCAGATTTCTGTGGAACAATACGCCGTTGTTTTTGTTTTTATTTATTGCATTTTCTCAAAGATTATTGAGGTGTTATAATGACGAAGGGGAATACTAACTTTAACAAGCTTGGCTAAGATAGTACGATCGTCCACGTGTTGGGGAAGAATTAAAGGTTCAACAAGGTTAATGTTCAAGTGGACTGCAATAATATAAAAGTAGGATTTTTGGTGCTTTGGAGGCTATTTTTTGCCTGGAAAGCTGTGCGAATCAGGGGCGTAGCTTTGGGGGGGGGGGG